TCTGGTGTGAACGAGACTTTACAGTTTTTTTTTGGTATTAAAAAAATAAGCAAGCCCAGCCCAGCTGACAAAAATAAAAGCAAAAGTATCGTAATGCATTACTTTCCATAAAAAGTAATGCAATTAGTTACTCTTTCATAGACTAATGCAAAATTGTAATGCAATACTTTTAAAAGTAACTTTCCGCAACACTGTTCATGAAAGATTGCTGTGGCCTCATGTGAAGCGATCATCTCTTCCTCTTTACTACTAGTTACAGCAGCAAATAAACATGAATGAACATCAGAAGAATCAGAACAACTCATTGCAATCAATCATGAATCATGGAAACCATCGATCAGTGATTCAAGTGCAGAAAGACGTCAATAAAACCGCTTAAGATCAATAATGTCACGTAACGTCACATTTACCTCAGAAAACGTAGTGATGAGTTTCAGCCAATAAAAAATTCAGCATAAACAGCAAAAAAATTGGTTTGGCTGAAATAGTTTTGGAGGATCAAAATTATTGAGTGAAACTGATGTTTAATTAGTGTTTCTCCAATGACGTGGTTTGACTGTCAATAGTCATCTTCCATCCACCTATTGTTATGCAAATTTTGCATTAATAACTTATGCTCTCAATTTGCTGAATTGGTCATTTCTTATCCAATAAGAAGACAAGTGCATAAACTATAATGGAAGCACATTAACTGAATAAATTCCTTGATACGCATAAAAAAACTCATGTGACTTTGCTTCAACAGATCATGTGACTGGATAAACAGAGCACCGATCTCAAATGTTACTTTAATCAAAATAATTTAGTATAATCATTGTATAATTACATTTGTGTTCCCAAACATCAGGCAAGCCTCCCAGTTTCCCTTCATTTCAATCTTTGGTTTTCAGCTAAAGAAGACATATATTCTGGAATCAGTGTTTCAGTAAAAACTCAAATGGGTTTGAATGACGTGAGGCAAGTAAACGATGCCAGTCTTGTTGTAAATCTTTGTTGTAACGTTCTGTTCGTCCGCAGGCTGAATCGCTTTAATAAGCGCTACATCAAGCGCTGTCTGATCGGCGGAGAGCGATCGCAGGAGCCACAGCTCATCTCCTTCTACAACAAGATGGAGCTCAAACAGGCCCTGATGCTGCTGGAGAGCAACAGTTCAGCCAATCTGAGCGCAGGAGTCACTGCAGCCATACCGTGAGTGAGTGTGAGTGTGTGTGTGAGAGTGTGTGTGAGTGTAATGAAGTCAACTGAATAAGCAGCAGGCTAAAAATCTTTTTTAGGTGCATTATAAAATCACAGAGAACCCACAGGAGGGTTGTGGGAGATGTAGTTTTTAGGCTCAAGTGAAGCGAGAGCTGAGCTGAAACAGGAGGGAAGAGATAAGAACAGCAACGTCTGAAGAGGGAAAAAGATGAGGAGAAATGTGTCATAAATTGTCTGTGGCCATAACAGATGCAATCTGGCCAAAGATGCAAACCATACACCAGCCTGGGCACAGTAGGATGCAGCTTCGTGTGTGTGTGTGTGTGTGTGTGTGTGCAGACGGCAGCGCAGCCGGAAAACGCTCAACATCTCTAAAGAACGAGAAGAAGAAATCAGGAAGATCCTGCGAGGAAACCTGCAGAAGACCCGACAGAGAGTGAGACACACACACACACACACACACACAGACACACACAGACACACACACACACACACTGTCACACACACACTCAGTCACACACACACACACACACTCAGTCACAGACACACACACACACACACACACACACTGACTTACTGAGAAATTGATCAAAATGAAGTAAGTTTATGATTAAAACAAGAACAAATATCTGCCAATGGGCTCAGAAAAATCAACTGAATTCAAAGGGTAAACAAGTTTTCATTCCCCACTGACATGTTTGTATCAGTTACATTTGGTAAATCTCTCAGAAAAGTTATTTCCAGATTCTAGGTGTTTAATTTAAAAGTAACAGAGATTTGTTGGAAGTTGTATTTTTGCGTGAATATATTGTCATCTACTGCAGGCGTCGGCCACCCGCGGCTCTTTCATCCCTCTGCGGTGGCTCTCTGTAGCAGGGGTGTACTATGTTTCATTCATACTCGAAGCCGGAGGGCGCTCTCGTACAGAAGTCCAAAATGGACTCATATGATAGAAGTAACTTTTGACGCCAGGAAATCCCTAGTATGGACAAAGGCATCCCGCTGTCGCTGTAGGTAAGATGAATAACAAGCATAAACCTGCTTACTTACTCAGCTCAACATCGTGATGTCTATCAGCCATCGATGGCATCGTCTATCGGCCCAACCCTATTTTTCAAGTCTTTTATATGAATGATACAGTGGTAATTGACATAGCATTAATTACAGTACAGAAGCTATAAAATATATTTTCTGCATTATTCTGTGATAAAAATGGAAAAAAATTGTTTGTAGTATATAATCTATTACACTGATTATACAATCATAACCATAAATTTGTCATTATTAAAATATATATCAAAAATATTATAGAAGACAAATGATTGGTTATTGTCCAGCAGTGTATTTTATTTCTTAGCCAATTAAAAGTAAGAGTTAAGAAAGTTTTTTTTTTTTTTTTGTCAATTAGACATACATAAATATTATTAGGCCTATTATTATTTTTATTATTATTATTATTACTACTACATTTGACATTTCTGTCCCCCTCACTTCTGAAATGATTGCTACTCCCCATGCCCTGTAACATAACTGAATATAACACTTTAGCTATATGCCATTTTATCTTTATTTGGGGATCAAATATGTTGTGGCTCCACGTGAATTTTATTCGGTGGGAAAGGGGCCAAAATGGCTCTTTTGACGTTGAATGTTGCAGACCCCTGATCTAGTGTATTGCTTGTGTTTGTGTGTGTTGTTAGCTGTGCTCGTACAGCCGGCACACGCTGAAGCCCGACGCGGAGGACGACGACTGGAGCGAGACGCGGCTCAGGAAGCAGCGCGTGGAGATGGAGAGAAGAGTGAGTGATGCACAAACACATGAACCATTAAACCAGCAGAGCTGAAAACACTGGAGCTTGAGCTGTTGTGTTTGTGTTGCAAACAGCATTATTGTGTCAAAAATGTGTGTGTGTGTGTGTGTGTGTGTGTGTGTGTACTGGAATTGTAATGTTTCACCCTCGTTTCCTTTCATAAACCTGTTTTACAGTGGGTACAAAAAAGTCCCCATTGCAACCCATTAAACTGTAATATTTACTGCCAGTGCCATTTAAGCATCAAATCAAGCCGTTCATTCTGTTGGGTTTCAGCACCATTTTCTCAGGTTTGGCCGCTGGAGCAAATACTAGTTTTGGTTTTGTTTTGTTTAATCTGACACTGCACAAAAATTAATAATGCATCGAAATTAATGTTGTTTCTAATCATTGATTTATCCAAGACTAATAATCAAACAAAAGAGTCTGCTTAGTACTGAGTATATGGAAAATAATTAATCTTTCATAAAAAACAACAACAGTAGCATTATGTAAACAAACGGGCAAAAAGTGTAAAAATGAATGTATTTCTGGTAGTTCTGATCATGACTGATGTTAGTGAAAGCAGACACATTTTTGTCCTCGAAGCACTTCTGTGAGACTTTTCTAGATTGACTTCTAAAGATTAATGCGGGTTTTCAATGAAAGCGTCTCTGAATCAGATGTGTTTCTGATGTTCATGATCTGTTCCAGGTGCTGATAAATGAATGTCATGAACACTGTACGTGTGATTATTTACAGTAGGGATGCTTTACTGACCAGTCTTGCAGTGCTAATGCCTCCACGGTCAGATTGGAAGGAAATGATGATTGGTACAGTATGAGTGTGTGTGAGTTACGTCTGGCGTCTGGTTCACAGATGAGCCACTTCCTGACGGTTCCTGCGCTTCCAGAGTCTCCTCCAGCGAGAAGAGCGCGCGTCGAGTCCGGTGAGCCTCTCAGATCTGACCAGGGCTCTTCTCTGACTGCAGTGTTTGAGCTGTGAATGCTGACGCTCTCCTGCAGACAGACCCCCGAGCCGAGGACACTAACCCAGCGTGAGCGATCAGGAGCTCGTCCAGCAGAGACTCTAACAGCGCTCGTTTGTGTTTCATGCAGTGGAAACGATTAGACTGTTGTTTCTAGTGATCTGCATGCGTCGTAAGTGTGTGAGATCCTGTCCTCTCTAAGGTCCTGTGATTCTCAAGCCTCTCCTGCGAGCGCTTGTGTTGCTATCTAGACAAAAAAGCTCAAATGTAGAAAAGTTTCTATTAGGATGATCAGAAGATAATTAATTATTATTATTATTATTCAGATAGAGTTTGTCAAACTTGCGTCTTCGTTTATTTGCACTGCTGTTCACAAGTTTGGGTTAAGATTTTTAAATTTTCATTGAAAGAAATTAATGCTTTTATTCAGCAAGGATGCATTAAACTGATCAAAAGTGTCAGTAAAGACATTTATAATGTGGCTAAAGATTTCTATTTCAAATAAATGCTGTTCTTTTGAACTTTCTGTTCATCTGTGAATCCTGAAAAATAAAATGTATCACAGTTTCCACAAAAACATTCATCAGCACAACAGAAATGTTTCTCGAGCAGCAAATCAGCATATTATACTGATTTCTGAAGATCATGTGACACTGAAGACTGGAGTAATGATGCTGAAAATACAGCTGCGCATCACAGAAATACATTACAGTTTAACAGAGATTCACACAGAAAACAGCTGTTTGAAACTCTAATAATATTTCACAGTTTTTACTGTATTTGTTTTTCTTACCGACCCCACCCTTTGACTCCTGCTGTATATTCAGACTAGTATCTGCTTTGGGGGATGTTGCTGGGCGTGTGTTTTGGGACATGTTAGCTGTATTTCAGAGTAAGTGAGGTGTTGTGTGTTTAGTGTAAAGCCCGAGGCACTGAAGAGACTCCTCTGAGACTGAAGCTTGGCTGTGGAGACTCATTAACTCCATCATCATCATCATCACAAACACAGGAGCACATCTCCTCTTCAGCTCGTCTCGCACCGCTGCTGGATGATGGCTGTGGATTTCAGTGGACGCTGGAAGCTCTATGAGCAGGAGAACGCAGAGCACTTTCTCAGAGCTGTCTGTGAGTCACATCACATCATTATTCATGCTTTCGCTTCACTGCAAACATGACTCTCTCTCAGTGTTTCTGTACAAATATCTAAACATCCTTAAATCAGCATACATTTACTGGAGAAGCCACATGACCATATAACATATTCATTATTGTTCAATGTATCAGAATTGAGTGAGAGGAAATATTTGCTAATGAGCTCAGAAAAATAATAGTTTTGTTTTTGAATTGGGTTTATTTCATCAGTTGGCGGATATTATTTCTTTCCTTTTTATTTTAATTTTTTTAAAGCAAAAACTCACTTAATTTGGGTGTCTTTTCCAGAAAACAATACTTAACATCTCCAGTCATTGTACATCTCCAGTAAATCTATGTTGGAATACATGGAAAACAAGACAGAAATACTGAGGAAGAACAGCATATTCTGCAGTGTTTCAGTGTCAGTCTTCTGTTTCTCTTGTATTTCTGTGAATGTTCTTCATATAAAGTGATGCACGTGTGTTTTTATGAGCAGCCGCTCCAGAGATTTACATTAAAATGATGAATGAAGTCAAACCTCTGACCACCATTCAGCAAAACGGAGATGAGTTCATCATCTGTGTGAAAACTCCTCTGAGAAGCATCACGAACAGCTTCCGCATCGGCACTGAGAGCGAGTTCAACACCATGGACGGCCAGAAGATCAAGGTGATTCATTCAAACGATTCACTGGAGAAGATTCGGTCGTGTGAGTCGACTCGCGGTTACCACAACAACACAGTAGCGGCATTTAAAGGGACAGTTCACCCGAAAATTAAACTTGCCCCATAATTTACTCACCCTCAAGCCATTCTAGGTCTATATGACTTTCTTCTTTCAGATGAGTACAATCGGAGTTATATTAAAAAATGCCATTGCCTTTCCAAGCTTTATAATGGCAGTGAATGGGTGTTATTTTTCAATAGTCCAAAAGAAGTCCAATAAAGCACATCCATCCATCATAAAAAGTGTCCCACACAGCTCCGGGGGTTAATAAAGGCCCCCTGAAGCGAATCGATGCACTTTTGAAAGAAATATACCGATATTCAAAATGTTATAAACTGTAATCACTAATCGACAGTTTTTTACGGTTTATAAAGTTTTAAATATGAATATTTTTCTTACAAAACCGCATTGATTGGATTATTACAAATGAAAAACTCAGCACAGTTCAATATGTTTAAAAGAAAAATAAGTGGAATAAATACTAGTTAATTAGTTTGTAAAGGAGCTGTGGTTACCAAGCAACGAGCCAGCAGCTCGTGTGTCACGTGATACGTGTTGATATTCACATATAAACTCATTATAGCCTCTCAGTCCTTTACAAGCAGCATTTTGAGTAGTTTGTGTTTCAGGCTACAGCTCGACTCATCGATGGGAAGATTGTGATTGAATCGGAGAAATTCACACACGTGAGAGAGATTGAGGGCGAGGAGATGATCGAGGTCAGGACGGTCTAAAGTCATCATATCTGTCCATATAACATCCATGTGTATACTGTATATCAGCGTACAGTCGATATAACGCTGCTCTCTCTGTGTTTCCAGACGTTCTCTGCCGGAAGCACGACTCTCGTCCGGAGGAGCAGACGCCTTTAACTCTATACTCTTTAACCTTTTACTATAAACTACTGAGTCAATATTTTTAGAAACCTTGTGATAAAAGTAGGCTAACATTTAACTTCATTGAATCATTTTTTGACATATATATATATATATATATATATATATATATATATATGCATACTACAACATACCATCTCTACTGTAAAATCAGTCAATATAATAAATTTTCTAACGTAATTTCATAAATACTTACAGATTTTAACAATGTCCAGAAATGTTATGGTACAATCTCAATCTCTCAATGTTTTATAACAATGTACTAGATTTTAAGTTTGTATAACAATACCATGCCTAATAAAATATATTGAAACACATTTTTTCATATTGGACAACAACTCTTAATGAATTGGTATGAAGCGTTATTGTTTTGCTGCTGGGTTATGTATTTGTATAATGTCGCGCTGGTGTTATTGAGGCGTGTGCTGCAGTACCGGAGCGCGTCTCTCGGCGGCGCTGTGACTCTCGGCGGCTGGAAGCGCAGCGGCTGGTTCAAGGCCTCGATGCTGCCGAAGGAAAAGCGACACAGAGCCGCGTGGCGCGAGACAGATTTCAATCTTCAATCGTTCTTAAAAGTCATTTATAATCAAGTGTAAGAGACTGTAATAATAACTATAATGTCTCGGTACATGAGGCCGCCGAACAGCTCTCTGTTCGTCCGCAATATTTCCGACGAGTCCCGGTAAGAGAAACTTTATTCATTCACGCTTTCATAAGACTTTACACATATCTCATATTTCTCGCTGATTAAGTTGATGTTTGTAGGCGATCATGTTTTGTCTCTCATTTATTATACAGCATTTCTGATGTGTTTCAAACACGTGTTTGAAGGGTTTATTGTGTTTGGCGCGTAAATGATACCGAGAGCGCGCGCAGCGTTTTGTGGTTATTGATATTATTATTATTATTGTTGTTGTATTATATGTTATTGTTTTATCTCCAGTTAGTCCTGTGCATCTTTACAGTTAGCAGTTTTCTCGGCTCGTGGACTGTAATGATGTTTGATATATTAATATATGCTTATTTCAGAACCCGAAGTCAGCAGATTTATCAGCAGATCATAATCCATCATAAAGTGTTGGCATGTGATAAAGTCTCTGATGCCGCTGCAATAACAAGCTGTTTGAGTTGGAAGTTTGTACCTCAAGATGAAGCAGATTTATTATTACAAGACTGCTTTCATGTCCTGAAGAGTTTTATTGAACTGAGGCTTTACAGGAATATTCTGGGACAGTATTTGTGGCGTAATGATGATGAGCACAGAAGTTCATTTACTACAAAAGCAGTAACAGGCAATGAATGGAGCAAATCGGTAAATGTTAAAATACTCTGTAAAATCATTTATCAACCATACATATATATACAATTTTTCAGTTTAGTCGCCATGTCAATACAATGCCTGAAATGATTTAAAATAATGCAAAAAATCAGGGGTGCATTATTGAGTCATTATTCACTCACTTGTAATATAATATCATGCATCTCTAAGTAATACAAACATTTTAAAAGAATGCTTTGTTCAAGCGAGCTAAACATTCCTGCATTTAAATCCTCCAGACATGGGCCTCATCTTGAGAGCCTCCGTGTAATTCTATCGAGGGAAGAGACCAAATGCAGTGTTTGTTTTAATCAGCAATATACCTGTGGAACGAGTTTAACTTGTGCTGAACTCAGAATATTGCTTTAAAACGCCCAGCGCTCAGTGCTTCATGTGTGTTTATTGTCTCCTTTAAAGCGACAGCTCACCCAATAATCTAAGTGTGCTGTTCACTTACTCTCCCTCGGCTCATCCGAGATGTAGGAGGATGTTTTTCTTCAGTTGAACAGTAGAGAAAGGTTTCAGCGGAAACCGGGATCCTTGGTGATTCATTAAATGTAAGTCGATGGCTACCGTCACTTTAAGAGTCAAAAAATCCTATCAATCCCCGTGACTCCTGACGATACACTGAGGTCTTACGAAGCCAAACAAGCGGTTGACGGTAGCCATCGACTTACATTTAATGAATCACCAAGGATCCCGGTTTCCGCTGAAACCTTTCTCTACTGTTCAACTGAAGAAAAACATCCTCCTACATCTCGGATGAGCCGAGGGAGAGTAAGTGAACAGCACACTTAGATTATTGGGTGAGCTGTCGCTTTAAGATGGCGGTAAGTATGTCCTGGGTTGGTTTGGTTAAGATGTTATTTCCCGGTGTTCAGGCCAGAGGACCTGCGCCGAGAGTTCGGCCGATACGGGCCCGTTGCTGATGTCTACGTTCCCCTAGACTTCTATTCTCGCCGGCCCAGAGGATTTGCGTACATTCAATATCCTTTGACTGCGAGTGCAGCGTGCGCATGTGTGTGGAGTCTTCTCTCCGCAGGGCTCCAGTCTAACCCTTATTTCTCTGTTGTCGCCCCAGACTGTGTAAAGGCGTCCCCTGGTGGAGCCCGGCACAAAGACACAGTTAAAGAGCCGTGTAGAGTAGGACTAAAAGCCAAGCCGCCTCAAGAAAGAAAGCTGGCTGCTTACAGAGAGACAGAGTGTGAAAGAAAAGCAAATTAAAGCTCCAAGAGACAAAGAGAGGCATTATGGGGCCGAGACGAGCGGCGGCTCCAGGTTAAAGAGCGTAAAGATGAAGGTAAAGGTAACTCCAGTATCCTCCATGATTCAGGACACAAGCGTTTGTTTGTGAGTGCGGTGAACATGTTCAGTTAGAGCCCTTAACAGCGCAGCACGTTTGAGGACGTCCGGGACGCAGAGGACGCCCTGCACAATCTGGACCAGAAGTGGGTCTGCGGACGGCAGATCGAGATCCAGTTCGCTCAGGGCGACCGCAAGAGTGAGTGCTGATGCCGTCTGAGATGCAAGTGTGTTTCTGGGAACGATTGAGGCTGACCTCTGCTGTGTTTCTCAGCGCCGGGGCAGATGAAGTCCAAGGAGCGTCAGTCGCCTCGCAGCCACTCCAGATACGAGGAGTACGAGCGGCGCAGACGCTCCCGCAGCCGCAGCAGACGCAGGTCACGCAGCCCGTCCTACGAGAGGCGGCGCAGACGCTCCCAGAGCCCTAGAGAGTGAGCGAGCAAGCCCTAGAGAGTGAGCGTCACGCCGCAGTCCTGTGGGATCCAGACACTGACCGTGTGCTTCTCCCAGCAGGTCCAGAGGAAGGACACGCAGCAGACGCAGCCGCAGCCGAGAACACGACAGGTAGATCTTTATACTCTCACCGTGAATCCTAAAGCCTGATTCAGGTGGTGGATCTGGAGCTGAACTAACTCTATATAACACTGTTCAGTACACAAGCTTTCTAAGCAGCTGTTGTTAAGGCTGTGATGTTCTGCCTCACCACAAATCTGAAGTAGCTGCAGCTTTATTGGTTAAATCTTTCCATAAACGATACATGATAGCGTCAGCTATTTCTTTATGCTTTTTTTGAGCTTGTTTAGTATGGTGTGCATACGTTATTTCACTGAAACGGTAATATTAAAAGACAGAATTTGGTACACACCTTATTAATAAAACATACTATCGACAGAAAAGATGAAGACGGAGATGAAAGTTTCATGTTAAGCATTTTCCTCCCATAGAAAGCCACTTTTAAGAAAGCACTTACAGTGGCTTATGGGTGTACAGTTTATTAATAAAACATTCAGGCAAGCAAATGAGCCCAAAATATGAATCGTGCTTTCTGTTGATTTCTTGAGTAATTGCACAGCTCTAGTGTAGAGGGATAAAATTACTTCTATTAGACTGTAAATGTTGAGGTGATTAGCTGGATAATAACATCCTTTAAATCACTGATAAGCTTTGTTAAAGGGACAGTTCACCCCAAAATTAAAATTCTGTGATAGTTTACGGAGTATGAGTTTCTTTCTTCTGTTAAAGAATGAAAGAAGACATAATTAAGAATGTGTTGAGCAAGCAGTTGCTGGCAGCCATTGACTCCACAGTATGGAAAGATATACTATAGAAGTCAATGAGGTCCAGAAACTGTTCGGACAAACATTCTTCAAAATCTCTTCTTTTGTGTTCAGCTGCCGAGAGAAACTCGTACTCTATAAACGTCTTTAATGTGACCATCACTCAGTTACTCTGTTAATTCTGTTTTCTTAGAAAAGAAAGTGAAAGTTGTTTTCTATGCTTTCACTATTACAGAGCAATCTGAACTATTTTGGAAGACTGTATTGAACTGAATTTCTTGTTTGTTTAAAGTTATTTCAAGTTACGTTTCTTGGAGATGCTTTGTTGCCTTTTTTCTTTGTGGTGGAAAATGTTACTGAATCAGCAGAAGTTGAATCTTCCACATAGAAATCCTGAAAATAAATTAATTTTTGGTAGTTATGACCAGGGGCCCGTTCTTCGTACGTCGTTTATTACGTCCGAGATGATATGATCGCGCTAATCAGGATCTGGCTGATCCGGTTCTTTGAGCGCAGCTGCTGTTGATGATTAGTCTGGCTGGATGGAGTTATCTGAGATAGTTGCGTGTTCATGGGTTGGTTTAGAAGGGGCTGTGTATCGATACTCGAGACCACGATCAGCAGTGCAGCGATTGGCTGCGGCAAGACAGCAACGTAATGACATCATATAATTAAAGAAGACACCTGACGAAAAACTTGACACATTTCTGAACTTTTATAAGGAAACCAAGCGAACAAAACTATATAAATGTTATAATAGATAAATTAAATGTGCACTGTTTTTATTTTATTTAATTTTTTTACATGATTCCCAATTATTTATATTCACGATTTCTAATATTTGTACAGGCTTTACATGTTTATTTCAATGTAGTAATTAGCAATTAATTTAGTTTTATATTTGAACAGATTTGTTACGTGACAACATTAATTAAAGTGTCTTTAGTATCTGCATCTCCTGCGCTCCATCAAGCCACTGCTATAATATCTGTCAGCACTCAAATTAATGCACGACTCTACATTATCTGTGTAGCATGTGTGCAAGACTCGAATACAATTATGAAGTCATTACTTTATGATTAATAAATCAGTGAGTAAAACTGGCTGTGTCTATAGTATTAAAGACTACACAACATTATTATATTATCTTTAAATTAATTTTTAAATGATTATTATTTTAAATGATTGTCCCTGGATTAGTAGGGTACTCTTGTAATAAAGTAGCGGTGGCTGGGGCAGATTTTAAGTATCAAGTCTACTTAAAAAGATGTGATCTAATCCTGTTTACATGAAATAAGCTGCTCCCGAGCTGGTTTAAGCTTACGGAGCTGTTGCTATGACAGCAACTCCGGGATGAGCTTCGAAGAACCAAACAATCCAAGATCACGCCAAATCATCAACAATCAAATCCAGCTAACTGAGCTAGCGACGTAGGCCCCAGGACTGATGTTGGTTAAAAAATAATAAATAAATAAACTTTTTTTGACACATTTTGGTCCTCTACGGACCTCTGTGTGATTTGACGCATGAATGCAGTTTATGTCTGTATTGTGACTGTGTTGTAATTCTTCTGAGCGGTCATGTGACTCCCGCAGGCACCACCACCGCTCCCGCAGCCGGAGCCCCTCACACTCGAAGAGCAGAGCTCGATCCCGCTCCAGGTCCAGATCCACCAGCGAGCTCCACGCAGAGACCCAGGACGCTGCTGCGGAAGACAAGACACAGCCCCGCTCACGCTCCAGGTCCCGCTCGCGCTCTTGGGCCGGACACAAGTCCAGGGGGCATTAGATCCGGCGGACGACAGGCTCAGTGACGACTGGCTGGTTTTTGTTTAGGTTTGGTGGGTTGGGTGCAGAAGGTCATGAACCTGCTCCTTTCTCTTAATAAGCAGAGGGAATCAAACTAGCCTGTTTTAGCTCACACGTCTGTTAAAGTGTTAGCATTGAAGATATCTGTGCGGTTTAGTTTACAAGCGCAGCTGCATTTGCCCAGCTGTGCAGAATGAGAGATGTAAATCGCTTCAATATTTTTGTAAGAGATTTTTGTTTTTAGTTGAGCAGTAATGGCCATCCATTTGAAACGGTCTTCCACGAGTGTCTCGAATGTGTTTTATTGTGAAATCTGCAGGCCTTTTACATGTAACCTCAGAATTAAATACATTTCTTGTGCATCAGTATGTTGTCGTGTTGACTTAATTTTCTAATTTCATAATTAGGTCTTGATTTTGAAGGAATTATGCTGATTTAGCACCATTTGTGCTTGTGGTTTTTATTAATTTGAAATTATTAATCCAGTTACATGTGTGTTGTCACGCAGCGGTGAGTTCAGCTTTCTGATCGAGTTTCCAAAACTTCAACTTTGCCATTTACACACCTTCATGTCCTTCCTTTTCTGTTCACTCTTCAAAAATAAAGCTTCCTAAAGAGCCGTTCAGTGATCAGTTTGTCTTGGTGTGAAGAACATTTTAATAAATCTAAAGAGCCCTTTGCGGTTGGAAATTGGTGCCACAAGTTCTTTATAGTGTAGGACTGTCCCACAAAGGAAGATATTTGGATTTTTTTTTTTAGACAAAAAAATCATACCATGTACTTCTATACAATTTTATACAGCATGAAAGTCCAGATACAATCTCTTTTGTTCATGTTCTCTACACGAGTGCCCTTTGACACGTGTCATAAAACATCAGCATTAGATGATCATCGTCGTTTGCGTGGAAGTGAACAGCTGCTCGCGTACAAAAGTTGCAAATCAATGAACCTGCTCGCACGCCACCGAAATCCATCCCACAATCCACTGCCTCACGGGACTCCTGATTGGTCGAGAGGTGCTGAGGCACCGCCCCCTCGAAACACCCTGCGCTCTCTGGCCATCGATTCTTCAATGACGGGTTTAAAAACATCGACAGACGGCGGGCTTGAGGGAAAATCTGAGATTGGATTCTGAGAGAGCAGTTCATGTATGAAATCGGACATGACTGATTGATCGTTAATCAGGATAATAAGCATCGACAGATGGAGAACTAGTTACTCATGCGGCTCTCAGGAGTGTTGGTCACTCTCGGCTGCTGTTGGTGCTTCGGCATGTTGAGGAACAGCAGAACCCCAGTCGCTTCACTTAACAGCTGGACTTCATTAATAATCCATAATTGCTTTGTGAGTTATGTGCTGTGTCTCACTACATCAGGACAGTGAAGACTTGTTTGGTCCAAATGACATGCAGGCCTTTACAGTGGCACGGCAACAAATCGCATTGATTACTTTGGCCGGGATATAAAGTTAGCAGCGACCTAGATTTCTCAAACCACAGCGTTCGGTCGAATGAAGAACAGCCGCCTCTTTCAGATAATTGTTAGATGTATTTTGATCATGCCACCAGCATGACCAACGCTTTTTCCTCATTCAGCGTTTTTATATCTTTTAGAAAAGTGATTAATTCAAATGGTGAGTATTGAGCTATTTAGTATTTCTTGTCTGTGAAATTTGGTCTGGATTTGGAGAACTGTATGAATCCTGCTGTCGTCCCATCTGCAGCAGCAGGGATGTCCGTGTGAGGATGGGCGACTGGAACTTTCTGGGAGGGATTCTGGAGGAGGTTCACATCCACTCCACTATGGTGGGGAAGATCTGGCTCACCATCCTCTTCATCTTCCGCATGCTGGTGCTGGGTGTGGCGGCCGAGGACGTGTGGAACGACGAGCAGTCCGACTTCATCTGTAACACGGAGCAGCCCGGCTGCCGCAACGTCTGCTACGACCGCGCCTTCCCCGTCTCCCTGATCCGCTACTGGGTCCTGCAGGTCATCTTCGTGTCCTCGCCCTCGCCGGTCTACATGGGCCACGCCATCTACCAGCTGCGTGCCCTGGAGAAGGAGCGTCACTGCAAGCGTGTGGCTCTCCGGCGCGAGCTGGAGACGATGGAGGCAGAGCTGGCGGAGGCTCGGCGGCGGGTGGAGCGGGAGCTGCGGCAGCTGGAGCAGGGGAAGCTCAACAAGGCTCCGCGGCCCGCTGCTGCAGACCTACCTGGCGCACATAGTGACCCGCTCCGTGGTGGAGGTGGGCTTCATGACGGGCCAGTACCTGCTCTATGGACACCACCTGGCTTTACAGTGGCACGGCAACAAATCGCATTGATTACTTTGGCCGGGATATAAAGTTAGCAGCGACCTAGATTTCTCAAACCACAGCGTTCGGTCGAATGAAGAACAGCCGCCTCTTTCAGATAATTGTTAGATGTATTTTGATCATGCCACCAGCATGACCAACGCTTTTTCCTCATTCAGCGTTTTTATATCTTTTAGAAAAGTGATTAATTCAAATGGTGAGTATTGAGCTATTTAGTATTTCTTGTCTGTGAAATTTGGTCTGGATTTGGAGAACTGTATGAATCCTGCTGTCGTCCCATCTGCAGCAGCAGGGATGTCCGTGTGAGGATGGGCGACTGGAACTTTCTGGGAGGGATTCTGGAGGAGGTTCACATCCACTCCACTATGGTGGGGAAGATCTGGCTCACCATCCTCTTCATCTTCCGCATGCTGGTGCTGGGTGTGGCGGCCGAGGACGTGTGGAACGACGAGCAGTCCGACTTCATCTGTAACACGGAGCAGCCCGGCTGCCGCAACGTCTGCTACGACCGCGCCTTCCCCGTCTCCCTGATCCGCTACTGGGTCCTGCAGGTCATCTTCGTGTCCTCGCCCTCGCCGGTCTACATGGGCCACGCCATCTACCAGCAGTGCGAGCGGGAGCCGCGTCCCAACGTGGTGGACTTCTTCATCTCGCGACCCACCGAGAAGAGCGTCTTCATGGTGTTCATGCAGGGCATCGCCGCCACGTCCCTGTTCCTCAGCCTGCTGGAGATCCTGCACCTGGCCTACAAGAAACTGAAGAAGGGGCTTCTGGACTACTATCCTCACCTGAAAGACGACCTGGGTGACTATTACGGTGCCAAGAAGAACTCTGTGGTGCATCAGGGGCGCAAAGCCACCATCCCGACAGCGCCCAGCGGATTCACTCCGCTCCTGGAGAAACAGGGCAACGGACCCACGAACCCCGTGCTCATTAACCCCTCGTCTGCGTTTGTGCCCATCCGGGGTGTGTCGGACGTGCAGCGGGAGAACAAGGACGTCGTTCCCGGTCTGCTGGAGCGCAACAGCAATTCCAACAACCCCTGCAGCGAGACTCGCTCCCCTGTCGCGCACATGCGGTTCCCATTGGAGTCGGAGAGCGCAGGCTTCAGCAGCCTCCTGATAACGGACCCGCGCAAGCAGCGGCGAGC